ACGTGTGCAGTGTCAGAACATAGAAAACTTTGAATTGCTAACTTAATTTACTGCAAATGAAACTGCCTCTAGGGAGGGTGCTACTGCCTGTTGCACTGTTCTTCCTTATCTTCCTCTCTGAGTGTGAATTGATGAGGGGCAGGAGCTGGAGCAGAGATGTTATTCGTGTAGAATTCACACAGGGAGTTTTCACTTACGCTAGTGCTAGAGCACTCGTGACAGGCTATGATTAGCTCTTTCTCTGGTTAGAATTAGCTATTTCAGTGAGACATTAAAGTGTAAGCTCTCTTGCCAAATAAATTAATGTGCTCAGGGTGAGTGAAAGAAAGGGGTAAACCAAGGATAGTGCTGGAGGTCAGAGATAATGATATACGCTTCCCTTATCAGGCCTATTAACTTGAGACCATACATTTTAGGCACTTGGCATGACAATGCTCAGTTGGTATAAATTAAATATATACATATAAATATATTTTAAAATATGAATTTAAAGCCAGGTGCCTATGGTTCATGCCTATAATCCCAAGGAGGCAGACATTAGGAGGATTGTGATTACAGGCCATCCCAAGCAAAAAGTTTCCATCTCAATGGAAAAAAGCTGAGTATAGTGTGCACGCCTGTCATTCCAGCTATGGTGGAAGTGTTAAATAAGGAGGATCACAGTCCAGGCTGGTCTGGACAAAAAGTGAGGCCCTATCTCAAAAATAACCATAGCAAAAAGGGCTGAAGACATGGCTCAGGCAATAGAGCATCTACCTTGAAAGCTTAAAGCCCTGAGTTCAAACTCCACTCCTCTAAATACATACATATATGTGTATATACAGATTATATAATATACTACATAATGTATTATATATTACATAATATATAATTTAAAATTTTAGATTACAGTATAGTCATTTGCATTAATGCAGAAGTTACTAGTACCCAGAAATGTATATTATAAAAATAAAATTTGTACCAGTAAAAGGCTTGTTTTTCATCATTCATTCAAATTATGTTGAACACCTACATAGTCCTGAACACCTACAAAGTCCTGGAGCTATGGAGAAACTTAAGACAAACTATGGTTTTCCTAGTTTTTTGTGTGTGTCAGACTGAAAGTGTGGCTCAATCAGTAGAGTACTTGCTTTGTAAGTGCAAAGCCCTGAGTTCAAACCCCAGTCCCACCAAAAATAAATAAATAACCAACTCAAAAAAAGCCAAGCAGTGATGACTCATGCCTGCAATCCTAGCTACTAGGGAGGCTGAGATTAGGAGGATCAAGGTTCAAAGCCAGCCCAGGGAAATAGTTTGCAAGACCCAATCTCCAAAATAACCAGAGCAAAATGGACTGGAGGTGTGACTCAAGTGGAAGAGGAGCCTGTTTTGCAAGCTTGAAGACATGGGTTCAAACTCCAGTCCCAACAAAAATAATAGATAACCCATCTTTTTGTGTGCATGTGGTGCCGGAAGTGAATTGTATAGGCCAATGAGCTGCACCTCCAGCTCTGTTATGATTTTTTTAACCACAATTACTTTTACTTTTTCTGGATTTCAAATAAACAGAAGCATACAGTCTGGAGTCTTCATTCACATGCTTTAAAATTGAAAGCGTACAATTTTCAACCTTTTTAGCTCACAGTAAAGTTTCCTTCCTATCCCTGACCCCTAGTCACCCAGTATTCCTCTCTTAAGCAACCAGTATTATTACTTGCATGTGAGTTTATCCCATAGCTATCTTTTTAATTCAGAGATTGTTATAGGCAATGTGAAACCACATTTTATTTATTTATCTCGCAAATGGTAGACATTTTATTATTTGTTTTACAAAAATAGGTCTCATTATAACATTTTTGTACAAGTATACAATGTAATTCAATCATACTTACCCCACATAACCCTCTGTGGTCCCCCCATTCCAATGCCCCCATACCAAATAGTCTCCTTTGTACATTCATGTCTTTTTGCTTGTGTTTAGTTTTAGATTTCATATATGAGAGAAAATGTGACATTTGTCTTTCTGAGACTGCCTTATTTTGTTTAACATGATTATTTCCAGTTCTATCAACTTTCCTGTAAATGACATAGTTTCGTTCTTCTTTATGGCTGAATAATACTTCATTGTGCATAATTTCTTTATTCATTTATCTGGACATCTAGGCTAATTCCTTATCTTGGCTACCATGAATTGTGGGACAGTAAACGTGTGTGTAGGTATCTCTATTGTATGCTGACTGTGAGCCCAAGAGTGGTATAGTAAGATCATATGGTAGTTCTACTTTTAGGTTTTTTAAAAATTTATCGAAATGGGATCTTATGAACTTTTTGCCTGGGCTGGCCTTCAAACCATGATCCTCCCGAACACTACCTTCTAAGTAGCTAGGATTACAGGCATGAGCCACCAGGCCTGCTCTTTTTTTTAGTATTTTTGAGGAACCTCCATGTAGTGGCTAGACTAATTTTCATTCCTATCAGCAGTGTATAAGGGTTACCCCCCCATCCTTGCCAGCATTGGTTGTTGTTTGTTTCTTTATTTTTCGTTTGTTTGCATCTGTTTTTGATCATAGCCATTCTAACTGGGGTGGAATCTCAATGTAGATTTTTTTGGCAGTACTAGGGTTTGAACTCAGGGCCACATGCTTGCTGGGCAGGTACTCTACCACTTGAGCTTGCCCCCACCCCTCAATGTAGTTTTGATTTGCATTTTCTTGATTGCTAAAGTTGTTGAAAATTTCTTCATGTATTTATTAGCCATTTGCACTTCTTTTGAGAATTGTCTGTTTAATTCAGTTGCCCATTTGTTGATTGTATTATTTGTCCTTTTGATGTCCAGTTTTTTTAGTTCTTTATACATTCTGGATCTTACTCTCCTGTCAAATGAATAGCTGGAAAAGATTTTCTCCTATTCTTAGGCTGTTTCTTCACTCTGATATTTGTTCAGCTTTTATATTTGATGCAATACCATTGCATCAATTTTTCCTCTTATTTCCTAAACTACTAGAGTCCTACTTAGAAAGTCTTTGCCTGTGCATATAAGTATATATATCTTTCTTTTTTGGCAGTATTGGGTTTGAACTCAGGGATTCATGTCTGATAGGCAGGTGCTCTACCACTTCAGCCATGCCTGCAGCTCTTTTTAATCTGGTTATTTTTAAAGTAGAGTCTCACTTTTTGCCCAGGCAGGCCTGAACCACAGTCCTCCCATTTTTGCTTCCTGCTGTTGCTGGAATGCCAGGTATGTACCACCACAACCAGCCTTTTTTCTGTTGAGATGGGGTCTTTCAAGCTTTTTGCCTGGGCTGTCCTTGCACTTCATCCTCCTGATTTCAGTCTCCCAAGTAACTAGGATTACAGGCATGAGCCACCAGTGCCCTAGTCCTCTAGTAGATTTAAAGTTTCAGGTGTTATGTTAAGGTTGAGAACTCAGTTTTAAAGCTTACCCAAAGAATATTATATGACAGACCAGCTAATACAATATAAAATCAGTTTTAAAAATAAATGGAGTTCTTTTTAGATTGATTCCAAATGTCAAATTGTGACATTTTACCTTTCTGTGACTTAGCCAAATCTAGTTCAACTTCTGGCACCTATGATTCTCATTCATTGAACAAATATGTACTGAACAAATGCACCTTCAGACAGAGTAACTAGTTAGAAGATTAAGTGGGTGGTCTTTTTACTGCACCTCTCAGGTAAAAGTAGTTCATTGTTCTTGTGTTTTTTTTCTTTTGTAATTTTTTTATTACTATACACTGATAGTACAAGGCAGTTTCATTGTGATAATTCCATAGATGTGTACAGTGTACTTTGAACAAATTCATCCCCTCTATTACAGTTCCTCAATTCCTCTGACTCCAGCCTTCCCTCTTGCCCCCTTTGCAAAGTGTTTGGTTGGTTTCCTTGGTTTTGAGTACAGTGGTAAAGCAGGAGATAAAAGAGGACAGACCCAAGGAAACTTTGCCAGATAAAAATCAAGAGGATTTGCTTGATAGATTGAATGTAGAAATGAGTGGTTGCTTATTAAGGTTGTCTGGTACTTATGTAGGGTACATTAAGTTACAATGAAAGTGTTAATTGAAATTGACTTTAAATAATTGTATGACCTAAAGTTACACAAAAATTTGCCTCAGATTAGTTTCAAATTTTCAAAGTTTTTAGCTGGGTGGAGGACGTGGTTTCACTTCCTATTTCTTGTTATTTCCTAATATCGTTGAAAAAGTAGTTTTTCTTCTTTTTGAAATGTTTATTACAGTGGAAAGGCTTCTGGAGATTGTCTTATAAATTTAAATAATTTAAGATTAGAAAATAATCATGGGTTTTAAATTCTAGACAAGTAATTTTAAAGATTTTTAAAAATGCGCGATAACTACTATCATTTTTGTCACTTCTAAATGTAAAACGGAAGCAACTTATATTGCCATTATGGTAATCATTTTATTTGTTATTATTATCTGCTTTTCCTGGGATTAATAGGTTGTTTCTGTCCGGAACTAAGTTCTTTCCTTCTAAGAATTTCTTCATCGACGTTGGATGGCTGCCCGGCCGGACCTCACACACGTGTCCTTGTCTTGCCCCTGCCGGACTCTGCGTAGACCCAGCGTGTCCAGACGATTCATGGAAGTGTTTTACGTTCCCAAGTGCCCTTCCACGTTGATTAGTGCTTTTGACAGTGACCTAACGTCACCTCTCTGGGGACTGGGGCGGCCTTCCCGAGGCTGTGTGTCTGCGCCGCGTGCCCCCAGGCCTGGACGACGGGCGCAGTCGTCGCGAGGCCCGCAGCTGGCCCGCAGCGCCCGGCACCCCAGGGCGCGTCGTCTGCAGCTTTAACGCGCAGGAGGCGGACCCAGTGAGCGGGGAAGTCCGCGGCTCGCGCGGCCGAGGGCCGGGGCACGGCAGCCAGGGGCGGAGCCAGAGGGGGTGCCCCGCCCCTGCTCCGCCCGGTCCAATCCCTTACGACTTCTGCCTTTCTCGGCGAGCCCGCCCGGCCCCTAACCTGCTCGAACCCATTATGCGGTAGAGGCGGCCGGGTCTCTTTAAGGGCTTGTCGCGCCTGCGCTTTGGGCTCTCCTGACGCGGCTGGGCCGGACCCCGGAGGAGCTGGCAGGCACGCAGGCGAGGGGCTGGGGGCGCTCGAGACGACGGCGGTGTCCGGACAGGAAGGTGACCGACGGTGGGGCGGCGGCCCTGAACTCCAGGGTGAGCGCAGCGCGCCTGGGAACGCAGGGCCGGGGCGCTGGGACGCGGCGGCGCGGGCTGCCGGCTGGATGGGAAGTTGATGTGTACGGCGAAGTCCACCCTACGTCTCCAAGGTGAGCGGCGCTGCGCCAGGCCGGCGGGCTCGGGCGGGCGGGCCGCGAGTCCGGGTTCCGCGGAGCGCGCAGCTGGGCCGGGGTGCGGCGGAGCCCGGTCGCCGCCAAACTTGCCGCGCGCGCCCGGCCAGGGCCTAAGCGCCCCGCGTCGCCTCCTCCGGCTTTGCGTGCGGGCCACAAACCCGCCCGCGGCTCTCCCTGGGAAGGGACCCGGCATGGTCGGAGGCGCGTCTTCTCAAATCCCGCGGGGATACCGACACTTCCCTCTCGGCGACCCGAGGGAAGAGGCGGCCTGCGCCCCTTACTTGAAAAGTTGGTGGCTTTATTTGGCCTCTGGGCTCTGCGCTAGCCGTGGCTCCAGGCAGGTGATGGGGGAGCCAGGTGTGCCAGGTGAGTCGGAGGATGCGCCGGAGTGTCAGTAGCAGTCAGAGTTGAATCACCTGGTGACTAGTGTGCAAGCCTCAGAGTAACCACGGGATTTCCGGTAGGTTGGATTGTGGTGTCTGCTTCTGGGTCGCTGAGATTTCTCTGGTCCTTCTGCCTTTTGGGCGTCTTAGATTATGCCTTTTTACCGAAGGACATCCTTTTACCGAAGAGTTAACCAAAACTTTTGGAATGGTTCCCTCGCTTTTCTACAGTTAGAGGTGATTTTGAAAAGCAGCAGCGTCTTCTTGCAAAGGTAGCGTTTCTTTGGGATACAGTACAGAACAATAAACTCCTCTCTTAGCTGAAAGAATGAATTTCAGTGTTTGATGAAGTTAGAGAAAAATGATCTGGTAGTTTTTAAAGTCAGTAGCTTTCTTTCTGCTTTTAAATTTTAGTAGTAAAAATCTCATCAGTGTACTAGTGTATCACAGGTAGGGTTTTTTTTTTTTCTATTCTAAAACACTAGCCTTAAGATCTGAGAACTTTGTCAAGAAAGTCTTACAAAATTTACCGAAATATAATATACAGAAAAAGCTTATAATCCCAAGTGCACAGGTAATGGATTTTTACACAGACCAAGAAAGAGTACATTACTAGATTGAGATATATTCCTAGGAGTGGAATTAGTGGTTTTTTGTTTGTTTTTATTTTTTGAAACAGGGTCTTGCTATGTAGTCCACGCTGGTCACAAATTCGAACTTGTAATACCTCTGCCTTTGCCCGCCTATGCTGGGACCACAGGCTGTTACTACCACGTCCAGCAAATTACTGGTTTTTGAGGTGTGTGAACGTTAAAACTTTAGAGACTGTTGAACATCTTCCCAAAGTGGTTGTACCTATCATCAGGGAATTTACCCCAAGTCCTTGCTGATGCTTGTCAACTTAAGAAATTGTTGCTATTGTGGTAGAGGTGCAGTATTGTATAGGTATGGTTTTATTTTGCATTTTCCTGGTGACTGGGGTTGAAAATCTTTTAGTGTCATTTATATGTCCTGTAATAGGTCTTCTGTGATGGGCCTGTTAAGTTTTTTCATTTGGTATGGTTGTTTTCTTATTGTATACTTATTTTTCTATTGATTTTAATTTTTTTTTCCTTTTTTATTTTTATTTTTCTCTTAGAGATAGAACCCAAGACCTTCCACAGGACACTGTCACTTTCCAAGGTTTCAGTTAGCTGTGGTCAATCAGGGTCTGGAAATAGTACATGGAAAATCTCATAAATAAACAATTTATAATCTTTAAATTACATGCCATTTTAAGTAATGAGATGAAATCATGAGCAGACTTGCTCTAAGGGGCAATCAGATTGACTGTTTTGGTGCTGCAGTGCTTGTATACAAGTATCTCTTATTTTACTTACTAATGACCTCAAGGCAAGAGTCACAACTTTACTCTGGCAACTTGGATGTACCCAGAGTAAAGCCATACAATACTGCTTTGAAGTGAAAAGATGGAACTTCTTGACTTAATAAGGAAAGAAAAAATCATATAATGAGATCATTAAGATCTACACTAAGAACAAAGATTCCCTCTGTAAAATTGTGAAGAAGGAAGAAGTTTGTCTTAGTTTTGCAGTAGCATTTCACACTTCAAGTTACAGCCACAGTGTGTGATGAGGGCTTACTTAGTAAGGTGGAAAGGTGTTACCCCAGGTTTCAAGTATCCACTAATGTATTCCTTGTGGATAAGGGGTACTATTTTCCCAACTGCCAGTACTCTGAGAGCTGGGCTATGGGGGCTATTGGGGTTGCTATTTGTTGAAAACACTGTTGCTTAATCCTTTGGCTTTCAGCCTTAAGCCTCGTTCTACTCTTCTTGGGTCTGGAATCTCTTCAGGTTAGGGTTTCCAGGAATAAATTATGAGACGATAAGGATGGTGGTCTAAAAGGGAACCTAGGGAGTTAAACTATACTTTATACAGACCAAATCTCTTCCCTTCCCATTAGCCCCAGGTCCCTTCATTACTCACCTGTAGATTCCCAGGTTCTGAACCTTTCTGGGGTTCTCTGAGTGAGTCCAGTTAGCTTGCTTCTTAACCATATTCCTAACCATATTCCCAACCATATTCCCTTCTGCAAACTGGCAGGTTCAGTTTTCCTCTATTCAGTCACTTGTTCCTCCATCTTTTTTCCTTATTTCACGGATACCATGTCTTCTCTTATCTATCTAATGATGTTAAAGATAGTTTCACCAAGCTTTCTTTGCTTTGCATAGTTTGCTTCCTCCAAGTTATTTTCCATTTGATATTATAGCCTTATAAGTAGAGGCCCTTCTCAGAGGTCTGGCTGTTAATCCTTTTTTATCTGTTCATGATTAAGATGGGCAACTAACAGCTAATTGGAAGCCATAACCTTGTAAATAGGACTTCTTGACTTCCAGTTTAATCCTGTAATCTAAATTATAAAGTGTGGTTTTTAACTTTGGCTGCACATTAGAATCACATGGAGAACTTCAAAAAATGTCCTTGCTGCTGCTAGGGCAAATACATGATAATCTTTAAGGGATAAGTCACAGGTATAAGTACTTTAAAAATCATAGGTGTTGTTGCGACACCACATCTGGCTCAAAACTCTATCCTTGTTTTAGTAGTGTTAAGTGTATGGTTTGATTTTTTTTTTTTTCTTTTCTCCCACTCCATGTCTTCCCACTCACAATACAGACCTGGCACAGGGCCTGAGCTGAGGTGTACATAGGGTAGGTTTACTTTACCTTTTCTTTCTAAATAGTCAGTGTAAGAACACAGTGTAGGATAAGCACCAGGTGGCTAGTTTGATGATTTTTAAAATTTTAAAAAGTTTATTATTGTACTGGGGGTACATTATGAAATTTACAGAAGTGCTTACAATATATCTTAAATTCACCCCTCCATCATTCTCCTTTATCTCCCCTCTTCCCATTCTTAGAATAGTTTCAGTGGTCTCATTTTTCCATTTTCATACATAAGTACTTAATATTTCCACCATATTGACCCTTCTGTACCCTTATAGCCTTCCTCTCCCAGTTATACCAACCCCCAGACAGGATGATAGTTTTTACTATGTAACTAACACAAGGTTCAGAGCATGATGAAATTCTTAGTATATGTTTGTATATCTTTCTGTGTCCCTACTCCCTGCCCAGAGGCCAGTTGTTCTGATTTCTGTCTTTGTCGATTATCAACAGTGTGTTTTAAAGCTGCACTAATGATTGCAGTGTGTAGCCAAGATGGAAAACCTTTGGTTTGGGTACTGTTTAAGGCTATCTTATATCTATCTATCTATCTATCTATCTATCTATCTATCTATCTATCTATCTATCTATCTATCTATATCTATCTTTTGTTTTGGCTTGGTCAGATTTCCCAGAGAGTATTTCAGTTCTCTGCTTGAAAGGTTGAAGTCAACTTGTCAGTGATCTGGGAACTTAAGAAAAGAGAGCTCCTGAGTAATGAGCATTTCATATATAGGGTCATATAATTTCATTTCTTAGGGTACCTATTTGTTTGACCATGTGTGCCATCAGCTGCCTCATTGAGGGTGTGTTATTCTGCAATTTGGAGGGGAATCTAGGGTTCAGCTTTCACCTGATCCTTTCTTAATTTAGTCCCCCTTCCTCTACTTTTTGTGGCAGTTATTGAGCCTTTTGAGGATTCAGTGGTATATTGGGTTTGTTTTTAGTTGTCAGCCCTACTGGATTAGAATTTGGCCATGTCTCTTTTTCCATTTTCCCTCCCCTTACCTTTGTGTCCTAAAAAAATGTGTCAAAACAACAATAACAAAAAATTGTTTTGGCGGTACTGGGGTTTGAACTCAGGGCCTAGAGTACCACTTGAACCACAACCCCAGCCCTTTTTAACTTTAGATTATTTTTGATAGGGTCTCTTCATTTTGCCTGGGCAGGCTTCAGATTGTGATCCTCCTACCTCTACCTTCTGATACCTGGGATTACAGATGTTGAACACCACATCTGGCCCAGAACTGTATCCTTGTTTTAGTAGAGTTTTGTGAGGTAGCAAAATTAGATGTGTATGTTCAAGCTACACCTTAGTCTGGATGTCCACCATCTGTTTTTCATTATACAAAAATGTGTTGCCATGTGACTTCCTCTGTAATCTCCTCCTTACAGAATTATACATTTTAAATTTCTTTTTTTTTTTCTTCTGGTGGCACTGGGGTTTGAACGCCATTTAAAATTTTTTATAGTTATCCAGTTAGGGTGCCAGGAGGAAGAGGACCTAAGTATGGGTTCAAGCTGTCATTTCCTTTGATGTCCCCAAATTATTTTTAGAAGTACTCATTGTCCCAGAATCTTATCTCAGAATTGGAAATGATTTTAAAGGTAGTTTAGCCTAATGAACTATTTGATATTTTCTGTAAAGTAATTGTCCATTTAACATGGAATACTAATGGTAAAAGATGAATAACTAAAGAAATGGGTTGGGCAGGTGGATATGTGGAAGGGGTCTGGAAATCCATACATGCATTAAACATTGAATGACTAAGTAATAGATCTTATATTTTTATAACGTAAGATTTATTAAAAAGTCATGGTGATGTTAGTTCAATTAATAATAAATCCAGTTACTGTCTTAGGGA